CGCAAGCGTGCAAAAGCGACGACAGCCACGAGGATGGCGACGTCGATACGCACGGCGCCTAGGCGGGAGCGCGAAATCCAACGTCCCGAAATGCAAAGACGTCCAAAGCGACGACAGTTTCGCATTTGTCGAACCCAGACGTCCCAAAGCCACGACAGTCTCGCTTTTTACCAACCCCGACGTCCAAAAGCGACGAAAGTTTCCGAAATTCCGACGTCAAAAAGCAACAACAGTTGCGATGTCGATTACGCACGAGCGCGATTTCCAACTTCTCGAGCTGCAAATCCCCTTAGCCTAGAAAACGCGGGACTCCACACACGCGTCCAACGTCTTTGTATCTTGCGCGCACATTTGGCGGGCGTTTCGTGGGCGGACCGTGGGCGTTTCGCGGGTCTAACTCTCATTTAGTCTGGACGTAAGAGCCCCAATTTTTGGCACACTGTTGGGGAACATAGCCACTTGGACCGCCGTGATGGTGCTTCTGAGCTATCAAGCGACTGGTCAATATCTGCAGATACGCGACTTGCCGCCCACGGCACGCGAGGTTCTCGAGTCTTGACCGACACACGCGCTTTTGCGTGCGGGAGCTTCGTTGTGATACCCTTCTTTGTTCGCGTTCCGATGGGCCAGAAGTATATATGTCATGAACAGTCTGGGCGCATGCTGCTTTGACGTTTTGAATGTGATTGAGCTCCTTTCAACCGAGTGAGGCTGTGCAGTGAACGCATGCCTGGATCTAGTCGGATCGCCTACGTGAGAGGGACTGCCTTCGGAAAGAGGTTTCCCTGAATGATGCCCTTTCCGTCCTAGTGGGAGGATCGAATGTGGTAGACCGGGGTCGTGGGAGTCTTAGGCAGGTGCTCGTGCAACGCTGCTGCCATTGACTTGGCCATTTTGCGGAGCGAAACCAGAGCAGCTATGACAAAGCACTGAAGCAGACATGCCATCAGGCTGCATTTCTGGACAGCACAACCCACGTTCAAGAGGCCATTGTTTCACGGGGTTTTGGGATTTCTTCCTCGCTTAGAGTCTTGTAGACTTGTTTGCAGAGGAACGCTCTGAAGCAAGGTGTGATCGATTGTTTCTCACTTTTGTGCTGGCCCGTGCATCTAGTAGTGTTGGTCGATTGAGACCGGGCTTGCCCCTTTTTGTTGTGCTTATAATTTTAACGCTACGCGACCCGCCTCGGCCCGGCCCAGCGCATCCGCGTGAGCATGGTGATTACGCAGCGCCCAAGTCGCCGGACCCCAAACAATAAGGGTTGGGTTTATGGTTTAGGGTTCCGGGTTTATGGTTTGGGGTTTAGGGTTGAGGGTTGTTTAGGGTTAAGGCTTAGGGCTCAAGGTTCACGGTTTGGGGTTTAGGGTTTTTTTGGGTTTATAGGGTTCAAGGTTCAAGCTTCAAGGTTGAGGGTTGAGACGGTTCGGCTTGGATTGATGGTAAAGTTGAGCCAGGCCCCTCAAGCAGGGGGGTGGCAGCGTAGGGGCGGCATCAGGGGAAAAAGGGTAGGGGACAGGGAGGGCGAGGGGGCGGGGGGGGCAGGCGGGGGGGGGAGGGAGGGGGGGGGGCGGGGTAAGGGGGGGTGGCTTGGGTTTGGGGAGGATTAGGAGGGGGATGCCTCCTTACAGCTTCGGCCCGAGGCCTCGGCGGATTCTTATAGCTGCAGTCACCGGACAAGTTGTTGAGTCTTTGACTCCCAAAAGTCAACGTGAAGGCAGCAACAACTTCAAGCCACCACTTTGATGAAACGAAGTTCAGGAACCGCCGGTCCACCCTCCTGGCACATGACTTTGTGGATGCTGCGCCCCCACAAGCCGGTGCAGCAGACGTGCGTCAAGCCGCACCCAAGGCCCCGGCGGCCTACCACCGCCCTTCAGGCAAACCCCAAACACTTGAGAAGATCCCCCCGCACAAGATCGCGCCTGGGGACCGGGCCGGCGGAGGACGAAAACGTTTCTGCAGTCTGCACACGACCCCAGACCCGAAGCAGGAGAAGTGGGCATCTACAACACGACGGACCCGGTCATGTGGGGCAAGGTTGGAGCTTCTCAGGCTAATCCCCCAAACTCGGTGCACGAAGCTTTGCTTGTATAGGTGCTGGTAGAAGAACTAGTAGTTTCATCACCCTACAATTAGTCTGTTTCCAGCCTGAGGCTTCTTTTCAGGTTTGGTCTCCAATCTCTAATGTAGCAGAACCTACAGGGCAGCAGTCCACCGAAATCCGGAATCCTGAAACTCAGGCTTCCAAACACCACCTGCCTCCCGAAAACCTGAAGCTCTGAATCCAAAGTGGGAGATCTGCGAGCTTGTAGTGGACCTACACCATGAACCTCCGAAACACAAGTACACACCCCTATGAGGCCCGTCAACTGCCCGCCTGTGCTGCAGAGGGATGGAACAAGCAGAAGCCTGAAAAGCAACTAAGATTTCAGGAGGGCCCAGCAGAAGTGGAAGAGGCGCCTTGCAGCGGCTTCTATATTTCCAGAGCTTTTGGCCAGGCTTTTTGGCGCAGATCGAGTCAGATGGCATCAGGTTCAGTAGTTCAGATGTACGGTTCCCGGGGCTCGGTGACTTTGGCCAGTCCCATTAGGGTGGTAACCCCCCCTCCGCCTCCCTGGAAGTGGCCGGAGAAAATAGTTGACCGAACATCAAGTTGAGCATTGACACCCTTGGCAGTGCCCTTTGGTGCGCATTGCAGAGGAACCCTAAACCCTAAATTTTAAACCCTAAACCCTAAACCTTAAACCCACCGCCCTAAGCCGAGCAGAGCCCGAAGTGGAAGACAAGCCGGTGGCAGACGAAGGTTCCAGGAGGGCTGGCCGCAGCAAGTAGTGGCCAACAAACTCACTTATCGAGCGCAACGTGAAAGGTGTGATGTGAATGGTCTTGGTACTTTCAACTCCTAGCCGCCTCGAAGCACTGCAAAATGCCAGGGCACAGTTGGGGAGCTCTTCTTGGCGGGCAATGCCGTCTGCCGTGGTTTTGCGGAGGGCAGCCAGAGTCGGAACCTCAAATGCTGCTACACCCATTTAATTACTCTATCTCGATTCAGTCTGGAGAATTCATTTGGGGGTTGTGATATTGGGGGTACCTCATTGGGGTCCTTATTCTAAGGGGACCCTGCTATTTGGGGGTCTATATTTGGGGTCTCTTGTTTTCGTATTCCCATTTGGGTCCTGAGCCTGACAGGCAGAGCGCTGAAGCTCAGTTGGGGCCCCCCATGGCCCCCCACTTCTCGAGTGTGCATGTACTGGAGTTGGCAGCTTCATTCACAAGCCATTCATGTCTTCAGGTGCTCGGAAGTGTTCGTTTGATGAGTAGGAAGCCTTGCAGCACGCAGATGTGCAGTGCTGCAGCAATCTTCCCTCAAGCCCAAAACTCTTAGCCCTCAAGCCTCAAGTTCCTGAGCCCTTGTTGACGAGGCTCTGCGGGCCAGAAGGCGATCAAGCCCTCACGGGTTATTTGGCGTGGACCAAACGTTTAGCCTTGTGAGGTTCAATTGGTGGGATATCAATGTGGTGCCCGATTTAGTTGGGGGACAGCCCCAAGCAAGTTGGGTTGCGGTGCCCCGAATCCCAAGGTTTTGGGGTGGGGAGGGCCAGGAGGGCGTGATGAGGGGTGGCTTGGATTTGAGGTCAGAAGCCGTTGGTTCTGAACTGTCTTCTGGGGGGTTGAATGCAGGGACCTGTCGTCTTCCTGCCGTGAATGCGTCCCAGAAGCCATGACGCGTCATGAACATGAAGCGAGTCTGCCATGAGGGCTACTTGGGCTACCTACTGCTATGATGAAATTTGTCTGGGGCTTGTGAAACCCAGTAAGTCTGGAAAGCTTTGCATTGTCAACAGAGGTTGATCTTGTGAAGGTGTCATGAAGTTCAAGTTCAATCGATCTTGATTTCATTATGAGGCTATAGAGGTTGCGGGCTTACAGTGCCCCGGCTGAGCTGGGTTGGGGGGGGGGGTTGGGTGGCAGCTTTGGGAGCATTCGCCTGCATAGCTTCTCCTGCATAATCCGCTGCTTGCAAAATAAACTGTCCATGAGCAGGGCAAAACCAAGCAGTCTCGAGACAGATACGAAAAAAGAGAGAGGCCCACACCCGAAGCGTCCTGCCCGCTGCAGGCCTTTTGCCAATTCTCAGGCCCTCGGCGTCAGTACTTATTTCGGGGCTTCTGTGGGGTGCCAGGGCTTGTCAGGACCGTGCCCTGAATTGAAGCACGACGCCCAAGAGCCTGAACCGAGGTGCCGCACAAAGGTACATTGCAGCCGGAGGGGGGGTGTGTTTGACCAGCATGCTCTTGCACCCCGACACCTACCTGCCAGCATTATTTGGGCAGTTCAGGAGCGGTTGAGAAAGTTTAGAGTTAAGATGGCTTTGGAACCATCGAAGTCAAGGAAGGCTGGGAGGCTTCCTGGAATCTGTGCATGCGACGAAACGGAAGTCCCAGGATGTTGTAACTGGCAATCCCAAGCCTTCAGTTCTGCATGGTCTCTTTCAAGCAGTAAACCTGAAAACCGAGAGGAGGTAGGAGATGGCGCGGGGCATTTCTTGCAATGAGGAGACGGGGACCTTGTTTTGAAATACATACTTTTCGAAACCATGTTCAGATCATCTCATGCTTCGACCCTATCGACCCCAAAGCCTCCAACGTATTTGGGAGTCTGGGAGGACGTCTTCTGCGCTCTCGTTGGCCACGCTTGGCTCAGATCATGTCCATGGGTATAGAGTTCCCCATGAGGGTGTACTGCGCAGTGTGTCAAGAGGGCCTTCCCGAACTAAGAGAGGGAGCAGGCCGCATTTTGTTTCTGGTCATAGCCAATATCACCCTCGAGCCCAGCACCACTCAGCTTTGCACCAACTCAGAGACTCTGGCTTCTTGGCAAGCACCCCGACCTTCCAAAACCGGTTACACTGTAGGTGTCCGAAGAATGTCGCGACCATGGTACGCCTGTGGACGCATGGCGGTGCAAGCCAGAAAGGATGCTAAGAGACCAAGCTCGACATGGGAAGCAGCGGGGTCGAGATGTGTTCCGGCTGCACTGGCACCTCTTGCAGACCTTCAGATGCAGGTCCCTTTCAAGGCAGTGAGTTAAAGGCCCTGCGGCACACGAGTTGTCATTTCCAGCTACTTGTCATGATGGTGCCACTGGCATGCCGCAGCATGGAACCCGCTCAATGTTTGTGAAGTCTGGGCTCCAGGCCGAAGCACGTACCGACCTGGGTGCAATCAGTGCCCACCCTGTCAAAACTCCAAAAATGAACCTCAGTTCAGGGTTCCCAAAGGAGGCTGCAAGGCCTTGAGATTCGAAAAGCTACAGCCCACGAAGAAACGCCAAGCTCACCTAGGTAGGCCTCTGGGACATTCTATCATATTCCCTTCTTGGGTTGAAGAGGACCATATCCAGGAATAATGATTCAGAGGGTTTTAGGGTTTAGGGTTTAGGGTTTAGGGTTTAGGGATCCTAGCCACCTTTGTCTCCTCCGCTCCTCGCCGCTGAGGACAGCGGAGGAGAGCGAAACGGCGGGCCTGATTCCAAAGCTCGAGTCTGGTGAGCCAACGCAGGAGGGTTTAGGGTTTAGGGTTTAGGGTTTAGGGTTTAGGGTTTAGGGTTTAGGGTTTAGGTATTAAGGGAGCGCACTCACTGCCTGGGCGGGGAGGGTGGGCAGGAAATGGTGCAGGAGTCTACGCTCCTCGGGTCAGGATCGGCGAATTCTCTCACCTCGAACAGCAGCCTGTACAGAGAACCCGAAACCCCAAGCCCTAAGCCCTAAGCCCTAAGCCCTAAGCCCTAAGCCCTAAGTTTTAAACCCTAAGCCCTAAACCCTAAACCCTAAACCCTAAACCCTAAACCCTAAACCCTAAACCCTAAACCCTAAACCCTAAACCCTAAACCGGAGGAAGAGGAGGCGGAGGTGGAGGATGCTGGGCCTGCGCCGAAGTCCGGCGGAGTCTCGTGCCGGCCACCCCAGGCCTGCCATGTCCAGCAGGGCAAGGATGAGACTTTCGGGGTTTAGGGTTTAGGGTTTAGGGTTTCAGGGTTTCAGGGTTTAGGGTTTAGGGATTTCAGGGTTTAGGGTTTAGGGTTTAGGGTTTAGGATTTCAGGGTTCAGGGTTTAGGGTTTAGGCGGTTTAGGGTTTCAGGGTCTCAGGGTTTAGGGTTTAGGGCTTAGGGTTTAGGGTTTCAGGGTTCAGGGTTTAGGGTTTAGGGTTGCGGCCTGATGTCTTTAAAGACTCAGCAGGAATAGGGTTCCGAAGTCTAGCATCTGGCAATTCAAGCAGAACACGCAGTGACGGAACCGCCACCTGAGAGAGCGCTGCGTGGATGTTGCCAGCATGTTAAGTCGGAGTTTTTAGGGTTAGGTTTACGGCTTGAGGGTTGTAGACTTGGGGGTTTTGTGAGATTGGATGAGGCCTTTGAGCATTCTGCAGGTACTATGCCCCAACACTCACATCCAGCTCTCCACCCCCCACAAACACTGAACTCCAAGCCATCAACGCCGGGAGGGAGCCCTGAACTCTACACCTTCAGGATCTCTTTGCAGAAGTCATTCGCTGTGAGCCTTTGCGACCTTCCATGCCCAGTTACTGCTGGATGCGCCGCTTCCTCCCACCATCGACGACGACGATCCGCCTGGCTATTGGGGGGAAGATGACTCGATGGCAGATGAGCTAGAGGCCCCCCGGACATCCAACCCTGAACTCGGAACTCGACTCCCTGAATAGCTTAGCGAGTTGGAGGTCTGGCTCATGGCTTCTTCAGCTCTCTCTCGCGCGCTCGTTCTCTCTTCTCTCTGTTCTCTCTCTTGTCTTGCTTCTCTCCCTTCTCTCTTTTCTCGCTCTCTCTCCCCTCTTTTCTCTCTTCTATCTCTCTTCTATCTCTCTTCTATCTCTCTTCTATCTCTCTTCTATCTCTCTTCTCCCTCTCTCTCTCTCGCTCTCTCCCCGCGGCTTCATGGTCTAGATGCACGCATCTGTGTAAATCTGCAGCACAGCACTTAGCTGTGAGTTCATACCTCGTTCTCCTTCTGGCCTTGCACAGTACGCAAACATGGTTCCACTTCCACTCTTGACCCAGCAGAGCATCACTGTGCATGCATGAGAGAGGTGTCAAAGGACAGAAGACACCCCACCCCCCCCCCCCCCCCCCCAAAAAAAAAAAAAAAAAACATGAGTTTTGTTTTTGGGCCCGAGTCTGCACCCAGGTTACCTACCCTCAGCCCCCAAAAGGCCGAGGCTGGCGATCGACCAGGGCCGCTGAGGCAGAACAGCCTTGGGGATGATCCCGACACTCCAAGGCCTCTCGCGGTTCTGGGGTTTAGGGTTTAGGGTTTAAGGGTTTAGGGTTTAGGGTTTAGGGTTGAGGGTTTAGGGTTTAGGGTTCCATCGGGCTTGGGCGTTCGGTTTTTTTGGTGGAAGTGTGGGTATCAGTCTTCAAGGTTCAAGGCAGGTCAAGGTGCGCGGTTTGAAGACAGTGAGCTGCATCGTTGGGCAAAGGCCGGTGTAGGATAACGGCGGAGCCTTTGTCTTCGTCCAAACCTACTTGCCGTATGCACATCCAAATCGCGAACCGCGCACGGCATTCTGACAAAGTTTTTCTCTCCGCAAACAATACAGTGTCTTGAGATAGGCGGACCTTCAAGTTGACATGCCGTGCGTGGATTAGTATCATACGCATCCCCGAAAGCACAGTCAATCCTACAAAACCCTCCTTCGGGAAGCTCGAAGCTTCAGGTCTTATGTATGAGACAGGTCTGAGATATCGAAGACGCCAGCTGCATCTGGTCCAGCAGCAACTCATTTTGAGCATCAAGCCCTGGCTTGCCATTTCAGTAGCCACATCACTGGCAGCAGAGAATGCGAAGTTGGCCGGGAAGAGGAAGAAAACACCCGGCATCTTCTGCATGCCGAAGTATGGGCATGACAGAAGAGCAGCGCCCTCGTCCTTGCACATGCTTGACGAAGCGCCTGTCAAGAAGCTTGTGTAGCCATCCAGCTAAGCAATCATGTGGCGTCACGGTGGCGAATGCGTTGGTGCAGATGTTGCCAAGAAGTGTACAAGAAATGGAAGACGGACTCTGAGCAGGACCCTGTGGCTCCGGATCTGCCCAATACAAACACCGGAGAGCGAAACTTCGCAGCAGTCCGACATTCCAGACAACCTCTGCTCCCAAACAAAGGAGCTAAAGTGCTAAAGCCCTGCAGCTCGGTTGTACTGTCGATTGTTTGCTGGTTTGCTTTTTAGTGTTGCTCAACCAGCGAGCTCTTCAGCGATATCAGCAAAGCCGGCTCCGTTTGCTTGTTGTCTTGTCGTGGTTGCTAAATGGCCCTTGGGCACATGAGGGCGTCAACTGTTGAAGGCATTGGGCTACATGTGGAGTAGGGTGTCAAGCGTTGAGACATTGGGCAACATGTGGAGTCTATGTCTGCAACACCTCTTTGCCAGCACAGTGGACGTCACATGGTCCCACCCCTCATAGTTCAAGACACCCTGGACCTTGAATCTCACATCGCCAAGCCCAAAAAAACTAGCACTTCTTCAATGACTAGCGACAACTTTAGGGAGGGCAGTTCCGTGTTTCAAAACCGGGGTGGCCAGTCGCATCCCAGCGAGTTGTCAAACCGAAGATCGCGCTCTAATGTCCGAATCTTCTGCTTGGAGGTGCCTCCGCCTCGGCTCCACCAAATCCGAGCCTGCACATGCACGCTTCTCGGGATCTGCGGATCTCCTACTGCTTCGCGCGGAGGCTCCTGTTCAGGGCGAGGTTTGACTGGCCTGTCGGAGCTTTGGTCTGCGTGGGTGCTGGGTATATGGGGGTTTCCGAAAATGGGGGTACCTTTTTTGGGGGAAATAAAAAAAGAGAGAAATAAGAATAATCAGGATTCTCGTATTTTTGGGTATATTTGGGCCTATATCTGGCTCGTTGTTCGAATGTCGGCTTTGGACATAATATGGGTGGCATAGCCGTGTGAGACTGCTGGGACGAACTGAGCTACCAAAGAGTAATTTTGCTAGTGGCCCAAGATCTTCGCTTCGTAGAGTTACTCGAGTTCTGACAGCGGGCAGTAGAAACCTTCTACTCCTGAGGAACCCCTGTGCCCTCCGAGAAGCGTTTGCCAACTTCTGCTCTATGTTGCAATGGTGCGGCAGCACCATCGTCATACTCACACGCAAAAACACATCCAACCAGCCCTTCTTTGCGGTAGCTGGTAGGCTGGTGCAACATGATACCCGAAACCCGAAACCCGAAACCCGAAACCCGAAACCCGAAACCCGAAACCTAAACCCTAAACCCTAAAGAACCATCCCTCTTGCACTTTAACTCTTGCCCCGCGGCGAGGAGGGCCAGCGAAGTCGTCAACGGGCGCTGCTTAGCTGCCAAAAGAGAGCCCACTTCACTGAAAAGTGTTCTTCAATCCCTGAACAAGCTTTCGAGGTTTCCCTTTTTCCTGTGTTTTTTGGATTCTTGGTTTTGTGAATCTTGCTGCTGGAGCTGGAACTAAGATGCGCCTTCTCACTTCATCTCCAAATGTAGGGTGTTGTTTCTGCTTCTTTGTACAATAGTATCAGCAAAGGCGCCATGAACTATTTGAAGCGCGGATGAAAAAGTAAGAAATTGCGTTCGCATGCTCTTAACTTTAGCTGGGTGTGTGCTACTCATGCGTCCTATATCCGGGGCTCTGCTGATTCCAAATCAAGATCGGCCTCCCGGAATGGAGATTGAAGAGAGACGAGCTTACATTGAGAATGGACATGACGATGGGCCGTATTCGAGATCCTGTCTTCGAAGATTGAAGATGCCTTGGAGAAGTGTCTTGGACAAACCCCAGAAAGCGTGGGCACAGCTGCTTCGATGCGCGTCAAACTGTGTGGGAAAAAGTTTCTTGTAGAAGCCCGAAGAACGGCATTGACCTGCAGCGCGTGTAAAGGGCAGGCCCGATAGATGTCTCGCCCCCTCAACCAAAATCTAATATCCTGGCACCTCGAAGCCGTGAGCTCAGAAGCGTAAACCCCAAAGCCGCAAACTCTCAATCTACATGCCCCTCAAGAAGGAGACCTCAAGGAACTTCAAGGACCCTAAACCCTAAACCCAAGAGCCCTTCAAAAGATGCTCAGGGTGAACAGCTCCTCTCCTGTCGTGTCCCCGTCGTCCTCTCTGACGCTCCAACGGATGGCCGCTCGGTTGGGGAGATGGGTTTAGGGTTGAGGGTTTGGGGTTTAGGGTTTAGGGTTTGGGGTTTAGGGTTGAGGGTTTAGGGCTTAGGGGTGCTCTCAAGTCGGCTTTCCAGGCATGTTCTTTCAGTTGAGGGTTTAGAGTTCAGGGAAGTTCAGGGACGTTTAGTTCAGGTACGCTCTTGCGGAAATGGTAGTGGTCTCATGATGTGGTCTTCGGGGTTCAGCAAGTACGAACCAGCACGTTCACGGACCGCCATCCAAACTCACACAAGTCCGCCGTACCCTGCGCACCAAGAAGTTGGACCCCTGGCTGAGGGGTCACTCGAATTCGAGTCTTCTGAGATTGTCCGAGTGTGCAAGGGTCTCTACAGTAAAAACGCTGTATAAGAAAACGGACTTCCGGCGATAGGGTACACTAAGTTTCTTAGTTTCCATTACCCATGTACCCGGGGGGGTTTGAGCCTAGGGTAGGCTTGGTTTCTAAACTAATTTCTTAAGGGAGTACGCTATACCACTAGACCAAACCCATGTTCGTTTCAGGAATGGTGGTGGGAAGGGTTCGGGAAGGAATGGTGGTGGGAAGGGTTCCCGAACTTGGCTCCCGCCGCGTTTTTGGGGTAGGGTCAGGCCAGAGGCGCGGGGGACACGTTTTAGAGCTTTTCAGGGCTGAAAACCTCTAGAATGTGACTCCCGCGCGTTTTTGGGGTAGGGTCAGGCCAGAGGCGCGGGGGAGTCACGTTTTAGAGCTTTTCAGGGCTGAAAACCTCTAGAATGTGACTCCCGCGCGTTTTTGGGGTAGGGTCAGGCCAGAGGCGCGGGGGAGTCACGTTTTAGAGCTTTTCAGGGCTGAAAAGCTCTAGAATGTGACTCCCACACGTTTTTGGGGTAGGGTCAGGCCAGAGGCGCGGGGGAGTCACGTTTTAGAGCTTTTCAGGGCTGAAAACCTCTAGAATGTGACTCCCGCGCGTTTTTGGCGTAGACCCGGGGGGTGTTGCGGGCAGTGTTTTTTTTTAGAAACTGACCCCAAAACACTAGGTTACCCTAAGTTTCTTAGCTATAAGGCAACCGCAAATCGAGCAATATTCCCGGGTCTAGGGGCTCAGTTTCTTAAACAGTGGTTTCTTATGCAGTGGTTTTACTGTAGCTCATCATAGACAGTTGAACCTCTAAACGCTTAAAGACGTTACCCTTCTCTGAGAGCATGCCATGGTCTACAGCATTGCCAGCTGAGTGCTTAGGACAGAAACTAGGGGTGGCAGCCTGTCATGGCAGCATACCTCCTTGAAGGAAGAAAGGCAGGTCATTAGAGTTTGGCCTGTGTCAAGCGGCCCCATTGCGTCAATGGTGGCCTCGATGGTTTTGAGAGGCTGAGGGCGTCGAGCAGTAGGAGTCGGACCCAGCTGGGAACCGTGTGAACCATGAGACGAAGCTACCCGACCAGCCGTTACGGCATGGAATTCCCAAACCCAAGCCCTTTGGACTTTTAATGCGTGCGGAGTTGAACTTTAGGGGTTCAGGGATGGGTTCCGTTCGTGGACAACCGAGCTGAGGCAGATGCAGCAGAGGACTCCAGCATTGGATTTGGGATTCCATCTCTTAAGAGGTCTTTGGTCTCTCCAGCTTGCAACCTCTGGAGTGTTATGGCTTCAGATGTCACTCTTGCGCTGCTGAGATAAGTAGGTCAACCGCCAAGTACTGAATGGCAAGCTCCTAAACTAAACCCTAAACCCTAAAACCCCTAAACCCCTAAACCCAAAAACCCCAAAACCACAGCCCAGTTTTCCAGGGGGTGCCCTTGCACAATATTTTGTCTCAGACCTCGAGAGGCCCCAAGATGTGAAATGGGGTTTTTGCATGGCTGTTGCCGGTGACGTGGAGGTTCACGACAATTTGGACCCCCAAATAGTAGTAAGATTCCGCTACGAGGACCCCAATAAGGTACCCCTACGTTCCGGAAACCCCCAAGTGGCTCCTTGAAGTGGGGACTTGGTGGGCACAGTTGAGGAAGTTGCGAAGTTGCGAAGTTGCGAAGTTGCTGCCTCTGCAGGACAGCAATGATGGCTTGAGCATGTCGTCTTCCCTACCCCAGTCCAGACAGGCAGGCTGCTGCTTTGAGAATAACTTAGTCATCTCGGAAGTCCGGGGTGTTGAGTTGCCAAGCCCAAGGTACTTGACCTGCCCCCCCAAGACTCTCTATCAACACTCCCTTCCCTTTTGCCCCATTCCACATCCGACAGCTCCGAACAGAGCAAAGTCAACAATATCGGGGGCGGTTTATGAACCAACGTTCGCAAGCAACGGCTGTCACAATTGCCCTGGATCCTACATCCTAATCGCCTAAGTTGAATCGAAAACGTCCAGACACGAAGTCGCAGAACAGTTTTGGAAATTACCTGCTGTATAGCCTATAAAGAATTTCAAGTTCCAGCCCGATCCTGCCAGGGTCCTTTAAAAAACCTCGCCCCGTGCCCTTAACAGATTGAATCAAGAATGCCATCCCAAAACATCATATTTGTTCTAAGGAAGTCTTTGGGATACCTGCTTCCCTTTCGCGTTGCCTGTATAGCGCCTGACAAGCCCTGACAACTCTTGTGGATGTGCAGCCCTCGATGATTCCCTCGGACGAGAAAGGCGAAGGTCCGGACTTCTGGCAATGGGGGGGGGGGGGAGTTTAAGGTTTAGGGTTTAGGGTTTAGGGTGTAGAGTTTAGGGTGGTTCATCATCCTCTTTAGTGTGGCGTCTTCGAACGTTCGTTTGCAGGTTTGCAGGGGGCCCACTTTCCGTTCGAACCCGGCGTTGTGCGGGGTGCTGTTTCAGACTTACAGTCAAGATTGCAGCTCAGAGGACAGCTCCGGGGAAGAGACCAGTCGGTTACGTTGAGTTTCTTGATCAAGGAGGAGTGTCCTTCAGGGCATGCTCGCAATCTTATCCGGTGCTCTTCTGCTCATATGGGCGTCCGAGCATTTCTGGTCTTATGTGGTCTTCGAGGAGGGCTGGGTTTGAGGCGACCAGTCCCTTACCTACCTGTGCAATCCAGGACGACGTCTCTAGGTTCAGGGTTGATAGCCGCGTCAGGAAGCCAAGACTCTTTTAAGTAAGATAAGTAGCCTAAGACTCTTCAGCAAGATAAGTAGTCTCGTTTGGCCCTTTTTGGGCCTGAGCTGCTCATGGTTCAATCACGACTTGCTCGCATGAATTTCCACAGTTGGGCCCCGGAAGGTCTGAAGCCGAAGGGAATTCCTCAGCAGGTCTGCCAAGCCCCGAACCGCTGAACCGCTGTAATAAGGGGTCGGAATAACTACTAGTTTTCCCTTATGGTCCCCATATACAACTCCCAAAACCCTATTCCATTTATCAAGGCACCTGTAATATGAGTTAGGATGAACCTTAAGGTTTATGGTTAAACCAGGTGGGGAGGGCAATGCCGAGAAAGCGGCCGCCAAGCAGGAGCCGCAATTTGGGGCTGCGGTACGGGTTGGGATCGGGGTTTGCTTCTGTCGTACAGCTGTTCCAAGTGTCTGGGTTTAGGGTTTAGGGTTCAGGGTTTAGGGATTAGGGTTTAGGGTTCAGGGTTTAGGGTTTCGGGTGCCTTACAGCTGTTCCAAGTGTGTGGGATCAGGTGGACCCGAAGCCTAAACCCCGGTTGACGCGAACGTTCACTAACCTTCAGATACTTGGAACCCGAGCTTCTCGGCAAGATGCGAAGCGCTGTCAACCCAGTTGCCCTAGACGCCCAACCCTAAACCCTAGACCCTAGACCCTAAACCCCAAACCCGAAACCCTAAACCCTAAACCCTAAACCCTAAACCCTAAACCCTAAACCCTAAACCCTAAACCCTAACCCCACACCCAACTGACCATTCCGGCAGGCTGACGACGGCATTCAGGTCACTGTCACGGCGGCGCAGCAGGGCACATCCTCGCAGGAAAGCAGTGGAATTTAAGTTTAAAGTTGGGGGTTGCGGATGAGAGGGGTTTAGGGTTTAGGGTTTAGGGTTTAGGGTTTAGGGTTTAGGGGTGGTTCACCTGGAGAGGAACAGTTCTTACAGTTGCCACGACAGGTGCCGACAATTATTTGCCGTTAAAGCTCCCCTTGCTCAAGGGAGTTTACTGAAATAAGGGACCCCAAATATACCCGCAAGGACCCCAATAAGGTAGCCCTACTATCGTAAACCTCCATAAAGGGGAGAGTCTTATGTTGAGAGCTTGGAGGGACTGAGCATTACCGTTGGGTTGACATTTCCCGGAGTTCCGCAAGAAGAGACCGTGGCTTGCAAATCTTTCAAGGGACAAGCTGGGGAGTTGGGTTATTAAACCAATCCAGATACCTTTCGGAAGCTCCTGGTACGCACTGAATCCCTACAGAACTCCTTGTTTCTAGGGGGGCAAAGTGATTTACAGTCTAACGGACCCGAAACCCTAAACCCTAAACCCTAAATCCTAAACCCCGGAACAACTGAAGCCCCCTGTCACGAGAGGCCCTGAAGCCACCGCCAGCAGCCCGAAACAGCTCGAAAGCAGCAACGCACCACTCTGCGCCGAAGCCCTAGTCGAGGATTCGGGGGGGCCTTCCGGAGTGTTATTTAGGGTTTAGGGTCGGGGTTTAGGGTTTAGGGTTTAGGGTTTAGGGTTTAGGGTTTAGGGTTTGTTAGTGCAGGGTTGAGCTGATCGGGTTCTTGCCTGGAGGATGGTGGACCACCACATGGAACAATGTCTGAAGCACTCGTAGGCTCTGGTGGCGCGCCCTTTCTCAGGTTTGCATGTCCTTGCTGTTCTTACTTGTTAAACATACCGTGCCTGACACAAGCCCAGTCATGACCCTAAACCCTAAACCCTAAACCCTAAACCCTAAACCCTAGACCCTAAATCTGTTTTGTGCGTCCCCCATCCTTCCCCGCAGCTGGGCGAGGCCGAAGTCATCAAACAGCCCTAGACAAGACTCCCCCAAACCCTAAACCCTAAACCCTAAACCCTAAACCACTTGAGCCCTTGTGCAAGTGGCAGCGCTGCAGGGCTTTCAGCTGCAGGCTTTGAAGGCCCCCCATCTTCCAACGCAGTAGGCATACCCACATAAAGGCTCCAAACAGCGCTCCCGCGCAGAGTTTTGGAGCCTCCGATCTGAGAACTCGCGGCAGATGCTTTTTAAGAGGCCAGGAGGTCGGGTGACCTACAGTAGTATGGTATGGGCGAAGGCGTGTGAACCTGGAAGCCTTGAGTCTAAGCCGAGAGAGCAAAACTCCAAACGAACAACCTCGACTCTCACACCCTTTAGGGTTTAGGGTTTAGGGTTTAGGGTTTACTTTCCAAAGACGTCTGAGCAACCTGTCTGGTTCCCGCTTATGCACATGGCAGAGATTCACAAGGGAGTTTGCGAAAATATGGGGACCCAAAATGTAGACCCCCAAATAGTCTATAGTAGGATGCCCTTAAGATACGTTGCAAGGACCCCAAGAAGGTACCCCTATCTCCGGAAACCCTAAACCCTAAGTACCTCTCTTTCCGGAAACCCCAAAATTTCCTGGAAATTTCAAACCCTAAACCCTAGACCCTAATTTAAGTACCCTATTTCCGGAAACCCCAAAAATTTTCCTGGAACTCAGTCTCCTGGCACCGGTGCCGGCCCCAAAGCGCTTGCCTCGAAGTCGCAGCAAACAGACCCTGGGATGCACAATGGCACCGAGCATCTTAGGAAGATTGTGTTTAAGTTTTTGGGTACTGTAACTCATATATATATATATATATACTTTTTTTTTTGTAAGTTTGGGTACTATACTTCCTAAGAAACAGAAACAGATAATTGATTTTTTTTGCTAGGGTTCCAAGGCCAGTTTAGGTATGGGTTGAATGCGGGCTTAAGCTGTCCTGACAGATGCTTCAGAAGAAGCGCTTGTTACCTGCAAAAGGACGCATCTGTAACTTGTCGAACTGTCTTATGCGCATTGCTGTGTTTGTTGTAATTATTTGTCTGCTTCCAACACACACCCTTTGGACTGAGCAACTTGACCAAGCTTAAGGAATGTTGGGATGTTCAATCATGTGCCTGGAGCGAGATCGCACATGTTGAATTGAGCACCTGCTCAAACATGGCAAGGCGTAGCACCAACACGCAAACTTACATGTTCAAGCGGCTTCAGATCCAGGCCAGATCAACATGTAACTGAAAGTGCAAAACTCGTTCTTTGCACATAATAATTAAACTGGCTTAGCTGAGCAGTTGCATTTTCATAAACTTAGATTAAGATTGCAATTGGATAAGACTAAGTGCCAGATACAATGCACAAGTCAACTGGTAGCGACATCGAAATGCTTGAGCTAGATCTGCTCTTTCAGTTCAAAGAGCTAAACTACTGCAACCAAACGCGCACACTGAGCTGACATGAAAAGCCCAGTCTGTAACGAGCAAACACTGTTTCGACGGACACAAGATATTCTTGGTAAACAAACTTCGGAATGAACACACGAACTCAAGGAGTACCCATTTCCCCCCCCCCCCCCCCCACCACCACCTCCCCACACAAGAACTGCACCCAGCTGCCCAGGAACCTCCTGGCCAGCCTACAGGCCTTGACCCAGGAGCTGCAAGCACCTTTGAACGCAATGTTCGGCTGACTTCGAGGTTTACACATGCGAGATTCCGCGGTTTAGGGTTTAGGGTTGGGGGTTGAGGGTTGAGGGTTTAGGGTTCCAGTTTGAACGTCTGGCTGGTGTTCCGGCGTTTAGCCGAACTCGGACTTGTCGGCGAACGAATCGTGGCTTAGCAATCGCTGGCCCATACTATCCGCTCTGTGCCCCATTCGTTCCAGTTGATATGATGCGACTTGCCAGGGTACCAAGTTCAGTTCACGGAACAATTTGCACCATTTGGGTAAATACCGGATTGGGGATCTTCGGCTCCTGGACAACAACTGCAACACGCGCCTGCAGTCAGACCCCTACATCTTCGGGACTTCTGCATCCAGCCCAAAGCTCGAATCCCAAGGTAAGAAAGCTAAAGTGTAAGTGTGTAAGTGTGTGTGTGTGTGTGTGTGTGTGTGTGAGAGTGTGTGTGTGTGTGTGTCTCTCTCTCTCTCTCTGTTTGTGTGTTTCTGTACACTTGCACGACGATACGTCAGGACGACCCGGATGTGTGAAAGCAGGGTCACCATCCCACATGCGCATGGGAGCTAAGCCAAGGCGAGGAAACACCGTAGCTCCGATCTCGTGGCCGCCAACACGGAGATGCGCGGACGGGCTGCCGCTGCCTTGCAAGAAGGGAATCCCAGGTTTTGCAACACCAGCAGATGCGTTCCCGCTTGTGTCCCTTTCAACTGCATGTGGCCAACTACACAACTACACACGGATGATAAGCGCTTACTCAGCTGACGTGCGCACTCGAGTTCTCTTGAGTGCTCAGGCATTTATCTTCATCGTTTCTTGCTCAGCCTCCTTCAGGGGCCCTCATATTTGCACGGTTGGAGATCTGGGCATGTTGGAGCATCCAGAGGTTGTGATCACTCCTGTGAGAGAATATGAGCAAAGTTGAAGCAGTCTGACCCATCTTTTTCCGAAGCCTGAGTCAAAGTGTCTCAGCCACCGTGTTCCAGACGAAAAGCATCATGCCGTCTGCCCGAACATAGGCGAGGCTGTTTAAACCTCAAAAGTACCCTAAGCCCTAAACCCTAAACCCTAAACCCTATAGCCCTAAACCCTAAACCCTAAACCCTAAACCCTAAACCCTAAACCCTAAACCCTAAACCCTAAACCCTAAACCCTAATCCCACTCTGGCAGCCACCAAACCAGGCCACGGAGGAGTGCGAGGGTGACAAGAGTGCTTCATGCCGGGATCCAGGCTGTGGCTGCGAATGGTGGGTTTAGGGTTTAGGGTTTAGGGTTAGGGTTTAGTGTTTGGGGTTTAGGGCTTAGGACATGAACAACCCTCCATCATGAGCCTACGCCATGTACCTTGAACCCGGCCCGCAACCTAAACCTTGTATACATGCCTCGTCTCGATTCTTCCCCCGCAAGAATAGATGCGAACATGTACATGGACCATACAGGTGTAGGTTTCGGGGCTTAGAAGGTTGGCTGGTTGCAAGAGCATGGTTAAAAGCTTAGGCAAGTTTTGGCTTCTACTTCTATGCACGGATCAGGACTAGAGGTTCGGCTTGAAGGCGCCCCTAAACCCTAAACCCTAAACCCTAAACCCTAAACCCTAAACCCTAAACCCTAAACCGCCCTATGACCCAAGCCACCTGCTTCCGGCAGGCGGGACGTTCACTGAGCTGGCTCGGTGTGTCCTGAATCTTGGTGGCACCGAGGAGCAGTTTCCGTGTTTCGGTCTTCAGGTTGAAGCGAGGGTATGAGCAGGCTGTTCGATTGGTCACAAGTGCAAGATCTAGGCTGAGAGTTGAGAGGACTGTGTTGGGTCAACAGCATGCATACAGCCAGGGGAGTAGTTGGAAGGGGCGATTTTCGCTGGTGCTTCCCTTGTTTAGTGGGGAGGGCGGGGGGAGGCTGGAGGGAGAATAAGTTCCATGTCATTTGGCGACCATGCCGAAAGCACTGCATATTTTGACAGTGTTCGTGCTTCTTTGTACAACATGCTGCGCAAGTGTTGTTGACGGTTCGAGACGCGCTCAAGCGTTCCTTACTACTTGTAGTCGTGTGACCATACCCACCCAAACCATTCGCTTCTATTTACGCTCAACAGCAGTAGTTTTGGGAGCACATGAAAGGGTGCGCTGTTTGAAAGTGCTGCGCCTGCCGATGCGACCGCACGAGAGTAAAGCACGCCGACCGAATAGTTTGAGAGAAATGGTTCAGAACACCCCAAAGCCCCATCGAACTTGATAGAATCCTACGTCTTTCAAGCACCAAGCCCGGAAGCAGTTGTTGCAAGAGCGACAAAGGAACAGAGATGTCGCCAAGGCCAGGCACCCAGGGCGTCGAGAGCATTGCAGGTTTGGGACTTGAGTTGAGATTCAGGTTCGTGTACTTGGGCAAAATGGAAATTGAAGTTCTTGATGGTTTAGGGTTTAGGGTTTAGAGTTTAGGGTTTAGGGTTTAGGGATGGTTCATGTACGTGTGTTTAGGGTTTAGGGTTTAGGGCAAGTAGTTGCTCAGCAAGGACCGGGTCTCGGGTTTAGGGGTTTCCCTTGTGCACAGGCTGCCCACACAAGGAGATTCAAAAGCCTCGCCGACATCGCATGGCATGAAGGAACCCAATGTGGGAGACCAGATCAATACCCGGAGGGGCCCAACGATTCCAGGAAAGCTTAACAACACACGCATGTCCGGAATTCAACGGGTCCTGGGATTGTGGGCTCGAAGCCATTCATTGTTGTCTGTAGCAGTGGGCTCAATTCCATTCATCGTTGTCTGCTGACCCTAGCAGTGTTATAGGCGTGACACATGCCACTCTGGAGCTCCTTTAAAGATTCACGATGGCAGTTGTAGGCTTCAGGACTACAAATCGACAAACCTTTCCGGCCCAGCCCAGGGCCGTGTGACTTGGGGATTGAAGTTTTCGTGTGTGTTTGGGGAGGCCCTGGAGGCTTTGACACAACAGGCACTCACTTCTCAGGCCGCCCCAACCCGTGGCACTCTGTATCAAGCTGCAGAAAATCCCCGCCCGTAAGCCCCTAAAGCCTTGCCCACCTGCCTTCCACGATCGTGCGAGTTGCTTCGAGGTGTCAGAGCTGGTTCTCAGCGGCGTCTCTGTGAACATGGCACTCCGGGAGGCGCGGGTGTGCTTTAGGGCTGAAAGGGACTGAAGCAGGGTGCAGCTTCTCCAGACATGAAGCTCCATGCTTATCACACCAAGTACAGCCTCGTAGCCCTTGTTGCAATCATTTAATTTGGGGCCGTGCATGGGGAAATAAATGATGAGGGAATTGTGTGGAGTAGTCCGTTGTGATTGCGCATTATCATCCTCTTCAACTACACCCATCAGGCAACTGTGAGGGGTTGTAGGGTTCAGGGTTTCAGGTTCAGGGTGTCAGGGATAACATAGCATCTGCAGGAGCATGGCGGATTCGTGCGCTTCTCCACACTCCTACACGCGGCCGCTCGGAAACATTTCTTTCAAAGCAAGCCTACAGCTGCTCTGTCCTGGACTGTCCTGCGCTGAGTGGAAGCCGTTCCAGTTAAAACTGAGCTCACTAGCCCAGGGGCTACATTTCAGCGTGAGAGCTTTCATAAACTGAACGAAGATTCGTTCAGGAAGCAAAGCCAAAATTCAGGCCCTAAACCCTAAAGCCTAAACCCTCAACCCTAAACCCTCAACCCTAAACCCTAAACCCTTGAATTCGGGAAGCAAGCCCCGACATTCAGCCGGAAATTCAGAGACTGGACTTCGACATTTCAGGCATCTAGCGGACGGACGTTTCAGGAAACCGTATGGCTGCAGGTTTAAGGTGCTTGAAGTAGGAGCCTGAAGAGCCTGTGAAGAATTTGGGGTTAGGTTTTCAGGGCTCTGGGTAGACGTCTGAGGGGTTGAGGTTGTAGTGTTTCGGTCTAAGGTGTTACGGAGGGGCTCTGGCGGGGGCTGAAATAAGGGTTTAATGTGTTGGGTTCAGGGTTTTGGGTGCTGGGTATACGTAGTGTCTTTTCCTGGTTTCCTGAGTTCTCTCGGCCTGACATGTACTGAATCTGCTTCCCGAATTCCTGCGTGGTCCCCCGAGGCGTCCACCCTAAACCCTAAACCCCAAACCCCAAACCCCAAACCCCAAACCCCAAACCCCAAACCCTAAACCCTAAACCCTAAACCCTAAACCTGGGCTTGGGGAGTCGGTTTTTTTGTACAGGCCACCAGATGTTCCTGTGATGGTTCCAGTCGGCCAAGGTTTGCGACATGCCCACAGACTCAGCAGGTCTGCCACAGGACCAGCAGGGACGCCGAACAATGCATGTGCACATTTTGTATAATAATAATAATAATATATATATATATATATATCTATACACCTATATATATATATCTATATATATATCTATATATATATATATAGATCGTTTTATCCCCAAATGTCGGAAAGCCCTTCGGCCACATCAAATTGATATTTAGAATCTAATTAAAGGGCCACACCCTCAGAGATATTTTTTTCGGGAAATCCTCTGGCCTCATTCGCAATACTGTTTATTGAGACATCTATATTTGCCTACTTAAGGCCACACCCTTTGAAATCCTCCTCTGGCCCCTATTCGTGATGAAATTTCGTTTGGATTTTGTATTTTAAACCCACACCCTAACAAATCCTCCCGGGTTTCATTTGAAATTGCACTTAAATAGGAAATTGCTTAAGAGGTCCCACCGACACTCTTCTAAGCCTCATTCGCAATCAATGCCACACGACAAGTAGTTGAAACTACATTAAGTATTGCTAGACAAAATTCGAGATACGCAAAGTTCATTGTAATGATTTTCATTGCTACTAATGAGATTGCATCTATACGCAGAAAAACTTAATTTGCTCATGAGCAGCTTGGAAAAGCACATCTTGAATAACAGGCACGACTTGTGCCTAGAAAGCTAGATTTGCCTCGGAAAAGCTGATTAACAATAGTTTCTTTCAACAACTACACTTTATGCACAATTTGTAAAAGAAATCCCAACCAATAAAGAGCTCTCATGCCTAATCGCAGTATTGCCCAGAGAACATCCATAGTGAAGCACATCGACTTGTTGGACATGTCTCAGGGCTATAATCCAGAGCACTTGGGAAACAGTTTTTGCGGTCAGGGCGTAAGGGTTGCTTCAAGTCCGCCCCACAGCCTCAAACCCTCCGTCGTTGATTATCAGATCCTGCTCTATTGCTACGAGTTTAACTCCAAAACCGAAGCTCAACCTCCCCCCAAACCTTAATGCCACTTCAATTCCAACAGAACAATGCCGAAGCACATAAACCACATGCCACTAAACCTGCAGGTTAAACTCAAGTCCCAGAACGCCCAGACCCACCGCAAACTCCAAAGCGCAATGTCTGACAAGCAAACCTTGGCAACTCTTCAAGCTTCCAATCTTCCAATCTTTGTCCGTTGCAAGGAGGGCTGTGTTCCGATCATCGAGTCCCTGATATTGGCAAAGGCCAGTCTCATGGTGTCGGGCTTGGTTTCATGGTTAGGGTTTAGGGTTTAGGGTTTAGGGTTTGGGGTTTGGGGTTTAGGGTTTAGGGTTTAGGGGTTCATGTACAGGATGTTAAAGGGAAGGTTGAAATGATGCCTGTTGTCAGAGCGTCTGTGACTTCGTGAATCTTGAAATGACCATTTTGGGCCGAGGGTGTACTAAACCCTCAAATTCAGCCTGATCTATGGTGGGGCGCTTTACGGGTTCCATGGGTCTTGGAGCTGTCCGAAGCTCTCCCCTTGAGCCCGGAACCTGCATCAGAAGCCCATGGGAACAGCGCAGGCCAACATCAACCCCAGGAACTCGCAGGGGGCGACGCCCATCATGCCCCTTGGATCGCCTCGGCTTCTGAAGATTTGCAGGGCTTCTGATGCAGGTTTGCGGAGTTCTTTGGGTTGTCGGTTCTGCTTGAGCGTGGTCGAGTGTCGTCGAGTATCCAGGGCTGCCTATCTTGGCACTGATTGAGCAACTGTGTCACTACGACCAGTTGCTCCTAAACCCCAAATCCCGAAGCCTCCCTTGGGCGCAATCGGCGTTAGCCTGCTGGGCATAGAAGGCCAGATATCTGCCGGAGCACAGGGGTGCCAGGAGGCACAAGAACCGACGATTTTCCATGAGGAGAAACTTGGATAGGCCTGCATACCCTGCCTGCGGTCTGTGTGTTTGGCAGGCTGGGGTACAGCTTTCGAAAGAGATTCGTATTACATATATATGTATGTAGTATATATGTGTGTGTACAATGTCTACGCATATATATATATATACACACATACCTACATACATACACAGTTATATGTCTACAGTCACCTGCTTTTCCTTGCAGTTCTTCTACTATTTTCTTAGCTTGCAGAAGTGTCAAAATCAGACTGGAAGCCTCACTAAATGTACTGCTCCATGCGTCCATGCGTCATTTGACATTCAGTTCCTCTGCAGAACTGGCCTTTAGCCTCGGGACATGCCAAGGTATGCGTGCCGTCAGAAGAATGTGGAGATCGTCAAAATGCCACCCTTCTTATATTCTTTTGGGTTTGGGGTTTCTGGGTCAATAACTGATTGCAGAAGCTGCTGAAGTGTGTTAGTGTGAGGTCTGCAGCGGCTGGCCTCTGTAGGTTGCACCGCACTCAAGATGCCCCCGAAGTAGGTTGCTGTCGGAAGCAAATGAGGCGGGACAGTAAGTGCCAGCGCGCAAAGCAAGCGAGTGCGCAAGAGAGAGAGAGAGAGAGAGTTCCCTGGATACTGAAGTATCACGCTGAGTTTCTCCGCGTCACAAGGGCACGCCTGCATGCGAGCGGTAGGGGCACCTTTCCTACCCCTCAAGCCCGGAAGAAGAAGAAGAATAGAAAGAAGAAGAAGAAGAGAGCACGAATGGGGGGGAGAGCGAGAGAGCGAGAGAGCGAGAGAGCGAGAGAGCGAGAGAGCGAGAGAGAGAGAGAGAGATAGAGAGATAGAGAGATAGAGAGATAGAGAGATAGAGAGAGAGAGAGAGAGAGAACGAGAGCGAGCGAGAGAGCCAGAGAGCGCGAGAGCGAGAGAGAGAGAGGGAATAAAAAGAAGGGAGAGAAGCAAAGAGAAGCACTCGTGCAGCATAGAAAAGTCGCATGACCCAAGAGTGCCATGGCGCTCTCGTCGCCGAGAAGCCCCATTCATAAAGTCTAAAGGATGCAGCAACAGAGAGGGAGCATGCGCTGGGTAGCATCGGGGCGTGTAAGTTTGCCGGTCACTGAGTGCCGTGCCAGACTAAGAGCGACAAGATACCTCGGGAAGCTTCTTGAGCTTTTGTTCGCTAGGGTTTATGTTTCTGGTGGCATCCTTGGGGTGGGCCCTTCCTTCCTGGAGTTCAGAGTGAGTAAGGTAGGCTTACGCCGAGGGCCGTGCCATTTCCTCATTGGGTTGTTGAATCCTCGAGCTCTTCTTGTTGAGCGGAGTGGTTCAGCGAGACGTCGACATCGGATTTGTCACATCTTCCTTCGTCTGCAACACAGGTTTATCTGGCAGAAACGGAGCCATCATCACACGGAGATACCTAGCGCTGGGCCAGCAAAAATGCATGGCTGCGCTCTTTGTCCCTGCCAGCAGTTGACCATGACGCTTGACGCAAACTCAGCGATCCCTTCATCTAAAGTTTAAACCCTCCCTTTTTTGGGCCGGACCCTCCAGTGCTACAGTTTCTGGCCGAATGGACCCTGCACGAGTTTGGATACTCTCCATGTCGGACCCGATTTTGCTTTGGGGGGTGGTATTTGAGGGAGGGGGCTCAGCTGCAGCCGGGCACAATCGCACAGGTTGGTTCTGATGCGGTGAAGATGATGTGGGGATTTCCGAAAATAGGGGTACCCCTTATATACCCCAAAATACTATATGATCCGTTTCAAGGAACCCCAAAAACGGTACCCCAATTTTCGGGAATCCCCCACGTGAATGTGGGTTCTCGTTTTGCCTGCATGGACATGGTGGATCAAAGTGAAGAAAGCTCACGTGTTGCGCTTGTAGTTTTTTTGTTTTTCGGGATACCCGCTTCCCTAAATCATATGGCGTATTCCTTGGGGGTTGTTCTTGCGACGATGTTGTTCCAGGTTGATCAGCCACGGTGCGCGGGTTTGGCCGTGCGATCAGGCATGGCTTGGGGGCTTATGGAGCTTGGAGCTGTGGGTCTGGAAGCTTATGAATTGTTTTGTTGAAGATGGGTTACGTGGTTTGCTTTGGCCTGCATGCACGTACTCTTGAGCGCGCGCGATTCAAGCTCACATGTTGTGCAGGGTCAAGATGCTGGTCTTGGTGTTCAAAGAGGGGCTGCAAGTTGAAAAGTGGACTTCGTATTGGTCTTCAGAAACAAGAGCAGGGTCCTGCGACCAAAGTAACGGGTACGCTGAAGCGCCAAACACCCTCACGAACACACGTTCCCTCAACATCCCCCAACCAGTCTTCAACCCAAACTGCTGCCCATGCTTGCGATCTCTTGGCTGCATCGCATCTCTCCAGGCGTGCCGTAAGAGAGTTAGTATCGATGCTGTTTGACTTGGAGATCCTCACACTAGGAGACTAGGTGCAGTTATAGGTTTGGGGTACGTTTACAACTTGCAAGTTCATTACTCAGAGTTCCATTCAGTCCCATGCTTGTTGCAGTTTTCACGTAGCCAATGCATGATGCACCATGCCAATGCCATCATGCTGGCATCTGTTGCCACGGCACGGCCTGTGCCTTTTGCGATTCGTGAAATATTTACTTCCAAAGAATGCGATGACGGCAGCAGTACTGCTGCCGCCGTGAGGGACATGGCGAGGGTCTGCAGAAGCCCGCCAAACTTTCACGTGAGGCTGAACTCCCGAACGATTGTGTACACATATTATGAGACTTCGGACGTCTCATGTAGCGGAACGATGATCCGCAGTGAGGTTGTGCCGATTGGCGAGTGTGTTCTCGACCAGGAAGCGTCGGAAAGCAACAACGAATCTCGCTACACGCAGTGGACTCTGAGATTGCATGAGGCCGTCGTAGAACAGGTGTATGCTTCAGAAGGGTGCTCTGGCAGCCCTATGGAAACCAATGCCCTGATTCTTGGTGTCTGCGATGAGCCCCGTAGTCGCATGCTGGCATGCAAAGGTGGTATGATTGAGGAGCTTCACTACGCGGACGCATGCAGTGGTGACAATCAATCATGGATGGCTTTTCCTGTGCAGAGCTGCATTCCCCATCATCTTTACGAGAACAGAAGTCGCAGGTTCACCTTCAGCTCATGCGACATAAGTTCTGCGAACCGTTTCACCTCTATCCTGGCGAGCCTTTCGCTTATAATATGGCGAATCCTGCGAGTTGGCAATGTCTGAACTCTCTGCCGAAGCGAAGCTACTGCGCCAGATGCGACAAAACAGGCTCCTCAAGCCGTTTCTGACCGTGGCTTCAGTTGTGGAACGGAAAGCAATTTCAACCTGAGCGAGGGTTCTTGAGATTTCGAATAACCCTTCAGTAAATTCTCGACCCTTGACCTTGAGCCCTGAGCCCTAAACCCTAAACCCAAACCCATGATCTGCTCTTGGTTGTAAGCGCGCCGTGCAAGAGGCATTAGGATACTGAAAGATGGGTGGCAGCATTGCCTGCCAAGAAAGCACAAGCCTACAAGCCCCAGCGGCCTACTGCAAGCCTGGGGGTTGAGGGTTGAGGGTTCTGGTTTAGGGTTTAGGGCTCTTCGCACCCCAAGGTTTAGAACTGGGAGTCCCGGCTCAGGGGAAGGCAATCTGCTGATGCTGGTGACTCGAAGTTTCAGAGATAGCTTTCATGACCGGCCCCTCACCTAGACACAACCCCTCGTTCTGAGGCACCCCCTCAGCAAAAGGAAAAGCTTCTCCGCAACGCATCATAATAACAATACTAAAAGCAAGAATAGTAGCGATGATGATAATAAAAGTAATACTAAACATAATAATGATAATAATAACAATAGTGGTAATAATATATATAGTAATAATGATGACAACAAAAATAATAATTGTAATAATAATCATAATAATAATCACACTAAGCTGCTCTCGGAGGACGGTCACAGCTGCATGAGCTGGGCCGCAGCGCTTCACGAAGAGGCAGCGTGGGAGGTTTTTCTGGAAACCTTTTGGGGGGAAGGGGGTTTAGGGTTTAGGGTTTAGGGTTTAGGGCCCCAAGGCGTTCGGACTGGAGTTGCGGAGCTTGAGGCTCTAAATGTTGGGTTCCGATGCCAATGTGTTTACACTATAGCATGATGGATGCACGCATTTACGATTTTGTTGTGCAAGCTTGCTGACGAATACTGCAAGGTTATATTGCGGTCCGTTTTTTCCTGAACATGATGATTTGTGATCACGCGTTAAGTGGCTTCGAGATGTTGGTTTGTGTCAGAGGGGCAAGTATACACCGTTATACGTGAAAGAAGCTCGCCTTCATCAGCATCCTGAGCGGATGCAGGCACAAGCTGAACTGGTTGTTAAAGTGCGTCCCTGAACTACCGCGAGCTGTGCAGCACCCTCGCAGCCCTCGTTTTCTTGACAGGGTGACTCAGGATTCAGTTTTGGCCTCAAGGGAAGCTTTTTCGTTCTCACTGCCTCCATCAGAAGGCTTTGGCGGCCGCATCCATCTGAATCCCTCCTGCAGCTTTAGAACGCGAAGCCAACAGAGTTACTGCTGCTGGCCTCTTTGCACACCTTCACAACGTGTGCGTGCAATTCGAAACGAGCCCCAACCTTCGATGTGCAGGAGAAGCCCTTGTATGCCAAGAATCCGCGCCCACCGCTGCCGGACGACGAGCCTTGCTGTTGCTATGGCCAGAGGGTGGGGCTTTGAGGGTGACACCGCACACAAATACACCCCTAGATTTCATTCAAGTTTCCCCCCCCCCCCCGCCCCCCTCCGTCGTCTTGGCTTCACAAGTCGAGTTGGGGCGGCCTAAGCGCAGCTTTAGACCTTTTTCGGGATGGCGATTGAGAGACCTCACGGTCCTGGCCTTGAAGCAACGAGGCAAAACGGCACCTTTATGGAGTATCCCTCTATGTAGGAAGACGAGCTTCATCTTAGACCCAATGGTTTTCAAAGGTTAGTTGGCAGTTTAAGGGGTCCATTCTGCTAGATTCCGGCATCGACTTAAGGAAGAGCGCTCGGCTTTCTTGGTGGAGTTGCTCTTGGTGGCCTCCACACTGGAGATAGAGTTCCGGCCTGTCAAGAGGCCGCAGCCCGGGAAGAGGGCCAGGGAGGTCGGACTTTCCAAATTTGGAGGTTGAAGCTGTTCCCTAAACCCTAAACCCTGAACCCTAAACTGGCCCTAATCTGTGTTGTTGCGAGTCGTGTGGGGTTCAAGCAGCTGCTTGAGGAGTTGCACTGGCTTTGTCTAAAAATGCACGACAACAGATACACAGCGGATGTAGATGATGAGTGCGTCCATGATCCTGTTGTTAATCAATGTGGTCAAGCTTGTGATCTTGAATCATGCTGATCATGATCATCATCAGGTTCCTGGCGGTGGTGATGAGGGTGAGGGTGATAGTGAAGGTGACGGTGGTGTTGGTGGTGATGGTGATGATGACGATGGATGCCTCCTGGGATAGGCCTCAGAGTAGTTTAGCCAAGAAGCATGATGAACATGACATCAGAATTGACCTCCAAGGCCCAAACCCAGGTCACAAGCCTCCTCATAGTGCCCAAGGAACCTTGCTTTGAACCCTGAGCCCGAAAATAAGCAAAGATCCTAAATGGCCAAGCCCAAATACAGAGCCGCTTGAAATCGCAAAGCCCTTGACTTGATGTAAGCGCGCGCCCGCCCGCTGCCATAACGTGTACAGGATGGTCTCGGCAGCTGTGGCTGCCGCCTCAACTTCTCCGGCGTCCATGTTTCAAAACCCCTCGACGCCCGGCGCATCCGAGTCTGGAGTTTATAGGTCCAGAGTGTGTAGACCTTATGGAGACTGAAGGAAACATGAACCCTGCAAATAGAACCCCCACTGCAGTTCCGCATAGACCTGTTGAACCTGCCACTCGCCATCAGGTACCATTGCGATGCAAGCCACAGGGCCAAGAGCTTGAAACCCACACCCAAGAAAAGCCTGAACTAGGTTCTAAACCGTTTCGCTACTAGTTGCTTAAGAACCCCGAAAAACATGTAATATTCTTCCTAACTAAGGTTAATATAGGGATTATCATTGTTACTCTTTTGGGGTTCTTAAGCCAAGGGTCGTTCAGGATGGATGAGCTTAGGTTGAAGTTAGTGTCTCAAGGCGTGTCACGTTGCCGAGGCTGCCCGACTCACATGAACAACGTTCCGCGAGTTTAGGTGAGAACCCAAAACCCTAAACCCGAAACCCTAACATGCAACTTTGCCAGCTTCCGACAGGGAAGCCGACCCGAGAACCAGTGAATCGTTCGGTGCAACCGGCTCGTGGTCAATGGGTTTAGGGTTTAGGGTGTAGGGTTTAGGGTTTAGGGTTAGGAACCCCCCAAAAGTGTATAATCCTTATTCTACCCTCCCAAAAGTGTATAATGATTATAATGAGGATGATACTATTATCCGAACCCCCCCCCCCCCAAAAGGGCAACTAACCGCATTATCGGAAACCCCCATATGACAGAGCAACCTCTGAGGAAGCGGCGTGCGAGCGTGCGCCGTACCACGATTGAAGATGCGAAGGAAAGACCGCTTGGCTCGGGGCCACTCCTTGTCTTGCACTTTCGGTTTAGGGTTTAGGGTTTAGGTTTAGGGTTTAGGGTTTAGGGTTCGGCGCAGCCGCGCAGCTACACGCTAAGTCCTCGATGAACCCCCTGCATCTGTTCCTGAGCTAAAAGTTCTTCAGGGTTTCGTAGTTCGTAGTTCTCGTAACGTGAAGACCGCTTGAAGTCTCCAACGTGGGATCCGCGACAACTCACAAGGCACCATGTAAAGATATGCAAAACTCTAAATGTCGGAAAGCACCTCAAGATCCCACGTGCCTTAAGCTTCGCAGGAGATGAGCCTGGAAGAGTTGGACCTTGCAGACTTCGGGGAGATCTTGAGATTCCTGACTTTCTCTCTGGGGAAGCAGAGGAAACCAAAAAAGAAAACTCGACCGATTCAAGAGTGACACCAATTCTCGACTTATCCAAGGACCACAGCCGGAGGCAGGACTACTGGCAGTCGAGGCTGGATCCTAGGAGCACCCTCGTGAGGGTCTAAGTAAGTGTCTGGTTTGAGTGTTCGTGTTCAACTGCTTTGTTTTTGTTTGGCCGCGGCGCCCTTCTACGCAGCCCACACCGCCCATGCTGCCTTCCTTTGAGTTCTCGGATTTGTGCGTTAATGGAAGATTCTCGGACTGCCTGCCTCAAGGACTTGAGCGGGGGGTTTCTTACGGGTTGCGGTGCTTGGTGCCTAGAGATCGCTATGCATGCTTAGGTTCGCACATGATGTATTTCAACATGTATGTCCAAACTTCATGTAGGATGCTTCGGGGCCGTTGTGAAAAGAAAGCATCAGCACAATGGCGGCTGTGCGTGTGTCTTCTGCTGAATGGTTAGCCAACCAAACTCTCCAGCCCGACGCAAACCTGAAGCCTTCGCAAAACCTATATGCTAAGGGTTTCACCCGAGGGGGGCGTGGGGCGGGTGAGGGGTGGGGTTTGGGGTGTGAGGGCGGGTGGAAGCTGACATCTTTACACGCCAGGCGCTCGTTTTTTGATCATCGTCTCAGAGTTTTACAGGGTCTGGAAGCCTGGGAGCCAGAGACCTCTGCGCAGAACCCCAAACCGTGTCCTTATCCCAAATGAACAAATGAACTTCCTCAAATCGCTCGATCAGGTCGCAGAAGGCGTCTGGTTTCCTCCTTTGCGATTTGCCATCATGCAGAAACCTGGCCAGATTGGAAGGCCTTGAACCGGTTCTTTGGCTAGCTCAACTGCAGGACCTGCAATCCCATTTAACCCCGAAACCCGAAACCCTAAACCCTAAACCCTAACCCCTAAACCCCTCCAGAGACCAACTCTCCCCTCATGTTCGAACAGCATCTGGCCAGACCCTCCCGAATCCAATCCCAACTAGGGGCATGCTGGGATGTTCGCCCTTATACTAACAGTCCTGAGTAGGGAGTCATAATAGGGGTACTAGAATCCCTATTAAGGACTGTTCGTATAAGGGGAACATCCCCATGGGCATGAGTTGAGGTCAAGAGGTTTTAGGGTTCACGCCTTCTGGCTTCGGATTTTCAGGTTTAAGGCTCGAGGCTGCGGGGGCAAACCATGATGAAGACACTCTCCTGCCACGAATTATCTGCCGCTGGTTTTAAGGCATCATTCCTAGCGGGCTTTTTCTTTGTTGGAGGGGGGGGGAGCGGGAGGAGGACGGG